ATGCCATGTCCATTAGAGTGCGTCTATCCTCAAGGCTTTGAAATATCTACATGACTCTTCATAGTTATAAGTATATAAATATAATTTCTATAGTTTAAATGTCTCATGAATTTGTGCTGAATTTCCTCTAAGTTATTTATATGAACAGTGTAATGCGGGTCCCATACAGTGCTACATTATTCAAGGATCCTTCTAACTTATAAAAAGTAAAGTAATTTAATACAGCTAATATCAGTAAAGGGTCTGCTTACACGTAGGATGAAGCCAAGGCTTTTTTGGGCCGAGTTCATAATTGTATCAATATGTTCTGAGAAGCTTAACTTGCAATCCAGTAATATCCCCAGATCCTTCACTAACTCTTTCTTAGTTATATTAAGCTGATTTATTTGGTAGTTGAAATTTGAAGGTTTCCTTTTTCTTTGTGAAAGAAACGTAATGAAACTTGTTGCGTTAACGTCCTATACGATTTACTACATAATAGTTACCAAATCGCACAATATCATTTTGAAGTTTCATGCAATCTACGTGAACTTAGCATTATGAAAACACCTACCCACATCATATAGATAGCACACTTACCCAAGAAGAGGACCCAAAATGGATCCTTGTGGAACTCCGGATGTTATTTCTAATGTCAACAGCAACTTACTTAGCACATTGAGTATTGATATTGGCCGGTAATTCTCAATTATAGTCTTCAGCCCTTTCTTGTGTAAGTACAACATGAGCTTCTTTCCATAATATATGAATACTTGGAAAGTAGCCATCGCGCAGACACCTATTGAATAATAGTGCTATATGAATAGATAAAGATTTTGCACATTTTACAAATAATATAGGAGTCAGTTAGTAATGTCAAGCTTATAAATTAAATTTCACTGAATTTATTTCAATATGTTGGATTACATTTAAATTAGTGTCAATGAATTTAAATTAATATCAAAAATACAGTAAAATTACTTTTTAAAAAGTCGTTAAATGACGAGCAGATTGTCATTGGGTTATTCAGTTTAGTATCTTCGTATGTCATTTCTTGAGGATGATCAGAATGCTCAAAACCATCCTCGCATGCTGGGAGAGCGTACACTTGTCGTGAGTGCGGTCTCACGAACGCTGCTTAAAACATCTGACACAGATGAAAAGGCCAGTATGTTTTAAGCTTAAACTTAAAATAGCTCCAGAAAGCTTTGGGGTTATGTTTAACATTGACATTTCATAAGAACGCACAAGCGTCTATGTGATTAAATATATTTTTGATTTTGAATGTTCTCTGAAGTACGCGCTAAGTACAGTTTATAACATTCTTGCCGTAGTATCTTTTGTCGTTTTCTTAGCTCCGAAAAATCTCCGTAATCAATCGAATTTTTATGCTTCTTCTAACAAAAGTGCAATTTACCCTTTTCTTTTATAAGGTTAATTTAGTGCATAAGAAATCTATGAAACTATTTTAATGAATTTTATCGCACTTAATTTTAATTTAAACTTTATTTATCTCAGAATTTGAATCTCTCATTGAATTCCACACTTGTAATGTTCTTACTAAAGGGAATAATTCAAAACTGACTGTGGCCCGGCTTAACTATAACATTCAGACGTCTAACGCCTCAGTCTGTCCCGTGACCATAAACGCTATAAAGGGTACGAAACGTCAAGGATTAAAATTAAACGCGATAAATCCGTAAAAATAGTTCCTTTCATAATGTGTTCGCCTAAATACACGAAATTATCATTTTTTGTGTTGCTTACACGGCAAAAAGCAATTTTGTTTTGACATTTGACCTTTTGTATTAACAGCGACGATTATCTATCTCTATAATAATTTAAAGGTCAAAAAAGACGTAGATCTTGGGCACGTGGGGATCTGTGGCGGGTTAAATCTTTTTTTTTCCACGTAATCATCAGACTAAATACAGAAGAGCGAGACAGGACGAAAAGGATTCAATTTAATAAAACAAAAACGAAAATTCATTATTTATATAATTCATTTATTTAAATTGTATAGTATTCACATGTCGCTACGAGTTTCAAGACGTGAAACACCAGCTTTACATACAAAATGAGAACACAACGCTTTACAAAATAACTAGGTATAAAGAGAAATGCAGCGGTCGAACAAAAGCGAATCGTAAGTAATAACTAGGGCTTGCTATATGTAAATTGTGATATAGCAAAATGATACTTATGGCTTATTATTACTTGGCAGTTAGCACGCGAGAGTTGATGAATACAAAAACGATTACCTAATACTGATCAATGCCAAGTTGTTAGCTCACGTGAGGGAGAGAGATGCACGATTCAAATCGGACAGAGAGAAGGGAAACGCGAATGACGCGAATTACGAACTATCACAGTTCGAAAATCGTGGGCTGAAACGCGAATTGACTCTCAGCCCTCAAGTCTACGAATTAAGAAAAAAAAAGAAAACTATACAATAATTGACTAAATACCTTAAACCGCTACTCGGGTAAAAAAAAAATCCCAGACGTCTCTTAGCGAGACATCCAAATTTTACACTATTGAGCATAACAATATACGAAAGGCAGTCATCTTAATACAATTATTATTGAAAAATAAAATGCTTTATTTGAGTATAGTGAGATACTGTCAGAGAATAAAATACATTCATCACACGGGTCATATGCTCGAACTTGCAACTAAAAAATTTACAACGTATCTAGAATATTCACGAACGATACATAGAAACGGTCAATAATGGCAGAAAGATATTGTCTATTTCGCTACGTTCAGATAAGTCAGTCCCATAAATTTAAATATTTTTATTTCTTGAAATATATCGAAAAATTGCCTTTTCTATAATATTGTAACAAGTCAAGCATTAACGACCCTTTAAAATGAAGCTATTTATATGCATTAAATTATAACGCATTTTTATTTACTATGTAATCGTTACATAGCGATGTAAATATAATAAAAAGGAAACTATCAAACTATTTGAAAAATAAAAATGCATTTTATATGTTGATTATACACATAACAATAGGCCTTTTGTAAATGATACAAAACATCAGGAAGACGAAATAATTAAATTTAAAATATAACTCATGTCAAACATATTGCACTGAAGCTAGACACAAATCTAGGGCACTAGACACATTAGCTGAGCTACGCGATAATATTATATTTTATACTCTACAATTTAATGGAAGATTTCTGATTCTGTACTCTATGACGTTTTATTAGCATGCAAACTGTCAAATGTTAGTTTCAATTAATGTGTCTAGTCCACGTTTGAACTACAGTATTTCGGATTAATCCAGCATAATCGCAGCACTAACCGGCAATCACAATTCTCTAGAATATTCTGTCAATAATCGTTGATAAGTTCGGATATGTTTGACGAACGTTCATTTTATCGTACAAGGAACCATTTGTAGTTGAGTAAAACTATAAAGTATGTTGATTACAAAAGAAAAAGTGTACTTTTAACTGCTATGCTATGAGTTGTAACTCTCCATATACAGAATGGCCGTGTATACGTTTAGTTTAATAGACTACTATCGCAACTATGAAGACTGTTTAAATCGTCGACTGCTCACAACATTCACTATGCAATGTCGATTCGAATAAGATCGCACAGCTTAGCTCCTTAACTAGCTTACAAGGCCTTGTTAACTATCTACCCTTAAGTCCATTAAGAATTCCGAATATAAGGTCACCATTTCGTCGCGAATACAACATCACTATATCACTTGAGAGATATTAACTAATTATACATTGTAACTTAACAACGATCTACGAAATTATAGACGAAAAAAAAAATTAAACATGACAATTCGATTTTGTACAAAAATCGTTTAAACACACACATTAATAGTTCAGTTTCTCTTAAATCTATTTGTCGCTTTCGAGAGAGGATTTTCCTTTGAATTTGAAACAAAACATTTGTCAGCGAGACCTATCTTGCGCGCTCTGAAGAAAATTCAGTCAAAATCTTGTAAGATTCTACGAATTTAGACCGTACGCGCTTAAAAATACGAACCATTGTTAAAGGGCGTCGCAAAAAAACTCCGCTCTCGAAAGCCCAAGTCGTGTTTCGGTAAAACGTTTCAAAGAGCATCCCTTATACAGTGGTCGAGGTTTCCTATACACTATACCGGACTTAGCAGGCACTAACAACGACACATTCGACATTTGAACGCACGTACGTACACTTAATCAATACGTATACGAACATAGAAAAACAGTAAAACACGTTACTTTTCCTCGCACAATTCCACTAGATGTCCGTATTATATTATGTATGTAGTCTTTATATTATTGAGATCAATAACGCCGCTACGCACTAAATTGGACTCATCACCGAATGGGGGGGGGGGGGCTTTCCCCGGCAAAGCGGGGAGCAGGGAAGGGGCTTCCCCTTATCCGTCAACCACTGCCTTACAAATGACGCATTAAACTACGTAGGAACATAAAAGTATTTTAAACGATTGCGGCTCGCAACAATGACTACAACTCCCAATCGCTAAATTTAGATTTGTTCCAGTCGAATTCTCGACTTGAACAAATCTTTGACACAATCATTAAATACCTAATTCGTTTTTGGGTTAATTCTTTACCTAGTGAGAATAGTTTCATTTCACAGTAATGATAATTTTAATAATTTTAATAATAATTAATAATAAATAACGTTTCCGATAATAGTGTGCACACCGCTAAGGTTATTAAGAATATGCATTGTTATACGTGGTCGCTCGCTTGTTTGTACGTGCAATCAAATCACTGAATCAATATAAGGCAGTGGAGAGGTGTGTAGGTCCGCGCACACGTCACTTGTAGCACCAATGCCGCCGAACACCAACCGCTTTCCGCTGTTCGCCCAATGCCTCCTCGTCCCGAATATTGTACTTGTATGTGTACTTTTCTCCACCGTTAGGATCTCATCTGAATAAGTGTTACTGACGATATAACATCGGAAGAGGGTGAAAATAAGTTACGCCAGGGTAGCGACAGATGGCGGTGTCGGTCACGAGGTCCCGCTACAGCCGCAGCGCGCAGCATACGGACGCGCACCAGGGCGTGTGAAGCCAGGGGGCGGCGGCGAGGGGCAACGGCGGGCTGGAGGGCGTAGGCGGCGCAGCGGGGGGCGTCGGCGGCTCGGGGGGCGTCGGCGGGCCGGGGGGCGTCTGCGGGCCGGGGGGCGTGGCGAGGGGGCCATCAGACGAGGTGGTCGCGGTCGTCGAGCGAGGCGTCCGAGTCACGCTCGGCGCGCAGCTCGCGCTCGAGGTCGAGGCTGCGGCGCTCGAGCTCGAGCCGAGCGGGGCCCGCCGCGTGGGGTCGCCTCGGCGCTTCCAGGGAGGACACCTGCGTAACGCACCCTTCGTTTGTACATACATGCTTACAACAATACCATCCGTACAGAGGGGGCGTTTGTTCACGAGTGGGACATATATAAATAATAAAAAAATAAAATAAAAATAATAAAATTTAAACTGGATATTGAGAAGAAATGGATGAATAAACATAAAATATTTAAATAATAAACGTATTTCACTCTTCTAACTATGTATCAATATTCATGTTGATGTCAGAGTGGGGTGCCTATTAAATGTTAGACCTTTTCTCTGCCAGATCAATGCTTTTACGTTACTTACTTAGACAAACGATTACACCTATGGGACAAAGCGGTTTTTTTATGTGTTGTTTATCGAGCAATCGGTTACGTAGTGTCAAATAAATTAAGTGAATACCGCCGCCCATGGACATCTACAACATCCGATAACTTGTTCCAGACGAAACGTGAAAGTTCAATAATACCACTTTACGCTGGCCTTCTGTAAGGACGTGGTACTTCTCCGGGCGCGCCTGCCCATTCATGCGAGCAGAAGCTGTTGCATGGCCCTACCACAATACGGTATTTTATCAACTTTGTTAATACTTCCCTTGCTCGTTCTCTGCCTGTTCGTTTGCCTGTTCTATATCCATGTTGATGCATATGTAAATGTACGCAGGTATTGGTAAGGTTGTCGTAGGCGAATGGTGATACCCGCTTTCTTCTCACTTAGTATCACCAAGTAGTGTCGCCAACTTGGTTCAATATCGGTATTCAAGGGAACTATATCGACTTACGCAAACTTTTTCGTACTTTTGTAATTTTTTTAGTAAGTCGTTCATTCACCCTTTCCAAAACCATCAAAGTCTTCTTTTGACTCTTTAATCGACAAATCTTATTTAAATGTGTCGCTAATCTCTCAATTTCATGCTCATCGGTAAATGCATATTTTTGAAAAAAATAACAAAAAAAAATTTCGAAGATATTTGAAGTCCGCCAATCCGCAATGGGTTCGCGTGGTGGACTATGCCCTGATACCCCTCTGTAAAGAGAAGGCCTTTGCTACAGCAGTGGGACATGTCCAGGTAGTTACTTTACTTTTAATAAAAGATAAAAAATTTAAACTGGATATTGAGAAGAAATGGATGAATAAACATAAAATATTTAAATAATAAACGTATTTCACTCTTCTAACTATGTATCAATATTCATGTTGATGTCAGAGTGGGGTGCCTATTAAATGTTAGACCTTTTCTCTGCTCAGATCAATGCAAACATAAACGTAATATCTGTCCCGACCCGTTTACTGTAGAAACCTCTGGATGTGCTCGAAATATCACCATACACCTTGATACGTCACACTTACAACGTTAACAGGAACTGCCAATATGTGCATGGGGTACAGCGTGGAGGGGGTAAATAGCGGTGAGGGGGTTGGGGTTGAACGCGACCTTGGCGAGACGGCGGGCGGAAGGCGGGCGCTAGGAGGGCGCCGGCAGGTGCGGCAGCTTCGCGGCCCAGTAGCGGCCTGAGCCGCTCTCCTCCGACAGCGCCGCCTGCAACTTCGCCTCTGCAAGTGAAACGATACTTTAGCCGACTGCGCGACGCAAAGTTGTGTCTTTAGCCGCCATCTTGTGCCATAATCTACATCCTACTTCAAATAGCGACTGGTCTACGGACCACTGCCCCACACGTTTACGCGCTTTAGAAAGTGAATATTCACCGTAATTACCCTAGTTTAACTAGTCTTTATGCGGCAAACGTCGACTGAGAGACCTAATAAAACTCACTGGCGACTTGTGACGCGTTGAAGGTGACTGGTGTGCGCGCGAGGGGCGTCCGCAGAGAGCCCCCGCGGCCGCCGACGCCCCCCGCTCCAGCCGCCGCCCCCGCCCCCGCTGCACCCGCCGCCGCGCCCCCCGCTCCCCCCGACTGGCGACAACAGAAAAACCATATCTATACACAATTACTAAGGATGTCGAAAGTGAAGATCGATATATCGATATTTATAAAAATGTCAATATCGGCGTCGATATATGAAAGAGAAAACATCTATATATCGACATTTTCTCTTTAGGTTCTACAATATTTGGCATATCTTTTTTTTGATACTGGGTGTATTAAAAAAAAATATGCCAAATATTAAATATTTGACACCTACGGACTCTGCCGGATTCGAATTTGAAAAATATCGTTTTTGACTTAATTTCGATAGCGAATATTTTGTATCGATATATCGATATGTCGGATCCAAATATATCGGCTGAAAATATCGATATATAAAGTCAAAGATATCGATATATTTTCGACATCCCTAACAATTACTGGTATAACAGACACCGACCTAGAGACGTATTGTCAGTGTTGATTGAAAAAGCATTCGAGGTGTCAGATTAGTGCAACGTACAGAGACGTCATCCCTCCATTGGGATGTCCCCGTATGCTATATTATATCAAAGAAAATTAGCCCTACTATACTATAGTAGAAATGTAGCACCTACGGATATATTAATAACTTCGAGTCTTTTTTGGTTGTTATGCACTTGGCTTCCACACAGTGCTTCCAATAACAACGACGTGACATGGACATTTGACATGATCTTTGTCTTGTCCATGTTCCTCTTAAGGCCCACCCGTAGGAAGACAAAACTTTAGGTCATTGAGCATATCACCAAGGTTCTCCAGCGATTCTATCATGATGACTATGTCCTCGGCAAATCGAAGGTGGGCGATGTAGTCGCTATTGATTAATACCATGTCCTTTTTAGTCCAGAAGCTTGAAAACATCTTCCAACAGCGGTGAAGAGTTTCGGGGATATGACATCACCCTGTGTTACCCCCTTCTACAGTGGGATATGTTTTGTACTACTGGACTGTACTTGGACGGACGTCGTAGCCTTGTTACACAAACATCTTAGCACCTCGATATACCGACAGTCAATTTTGCACTGCTGAAGGGCCTGGAGTACCGCCTAAATTTCGACTCGAAGGCTTTTTCATAGGCCACATACGCGAGGCATCAAGGCAGATTATACTCTTTTAATGTACTGTAGCCTTTCTATATACTGAAGCCTTTTGGCTGGTGGCTCAGGATCGCGCTTCGTGGCAGTCCGTGGGCGAGGCCTACATTCAGCAGTCGACTCAAAGGTGCTGAAATGATGATGACGATGATACTGTAACTTTAAAAATATAAGTTCCTTCTATATTTAGCGCTCACAAGATCCTTCTTGTGAGCGCTAAATATGAAGGAACTTATAACTTATATATCCTTATCGCAACCAACATACGAACCTCAATTTTAAATGCAAACGTAAGTACCAACCATTAAACGTAAGTTAAGTTGGTTGTGTTTGTAATGCTCTATGTTATCAGTAATGTTCATTTTATTGTTACTAAATTAGATTGCACTCATTCTGAAATTTCAGCGCTTTATAATTTGTTTAACTAAGCCCAACATAAAATATACCTAAAGTTATGATAAAAAAATAAGTTTTATAAAATAATATACATACACGTACATTATAAACATACAAACATAAATTGGTCACAAATTATTCGACTAAAATATTCATCAATAAAGTTTAAAAATAAAAAATATAGGTGAATGATAATAATTGCAACTTATAAAAATAAGGCAAAGGAATAAGGCTCGTTTTATTTTCAATTAATTTCAACTTTACGGCTCCATGTGTTTACAATATTCACAATTAGATGCTATTAAGAAATGATATAATTTAGCGTTTACATTAATTTCGGTACAAAGAGCTGGTTATGATCTAACGAGTCTGTGGCAACAGGTACAAATTAGAACTACAAAAAATACTTCTTTCTACGAATATACCGAACATTATATATGTACGTCATTAAGCTAGGCCACTTTGGGTTTCATAATTAGGTTTGTTAAGGGGTTCATAAACAACATAAACTTGAGAATCAGTAGTTAATAGACCGCAGAAGGCAAGAGCGATGTACATTTTAAACGTAATATTGATTAACATTACAAAACACGGATTAGAATATTCATCTGCAATGTAGATTTTAAATGCCCATACCCATAATCGATTATAATAAAACTGAAGAAGTTTCGTCGAAATTGCAAAAACATGGATAGCCTGAAACCTGCAGAACTAAAATGCTGGACTTGGCGATCAAATTTTCGATTAAATAACTAGCCTTCATTGCCTCCCCTATAAAAAAACAACAAAAAAGAAAATAAAAAAAATAAACAAGCAAAACGAACCTATTTGTCGGTGCACTTGGGCTGGGCGAGCCGTTTGACGTGGTGCGCTATACTAACGTGGTTGGCGGGCAGCGCCTGCGGCTGGGCGTGGGCGTGGCCGTGGGGCTGCGCCTGCGCGTGGGACTGCGCGTGGGGCTGGGAGTGGGACTGCGCGTGCGGTTCGTCGTCGTGCGGCGGCCGCGGCAGCCGGCGGCGGAGCCACGCGTGCCGCAGCGCCTGCGCGGGCGTGAGCCGCTTCTCCGGCTCCCATTCGAGGCACCTGCGGGTCGGAATACGATTTTAAACCTGAACAGTGTGCGTAATCTTAATGCACCTTTGATACAGCGTTGTAGAGTAGAGGATGAACTTTAATTATTAAAATTTCCGTAATAAGTTAGATCTCTTGTTATGCAGACAAAATTAAACTTCCGAGGACAAGGAAATTATAAACTTTTATGTTCAATAAAATAAATCTTAAAAGGAGGTAGGTGTGCAAATCTCTTCCAGACAACCTTAGGACAAGGAAAATAAACTTAAATAGTGTGCTTAATTAACTTACTTAATAATATTAAAATAAATTATAACAAACATACATAAACATAAATAAATATATTAAAGTATAATAGATTAATATTGTCAATGTTACCTATGGATTACAGAGGGAAAGATAGTGATTCTTTACGACATTTTTAAATTTGTCTAGCACGATGAATTTGCTGAGGTAGTTCATTCCACAAGCAGATAGCCTTGACTGTAAAGGAGCAATATGTGTATAACAAAAATTAAATAAAGAGCTGTATATGACTATACATACTTTAGTTGATACTACTATGACATATTATCTAGAATTAAAAGATTTAGTCTGAGGAAAAGAAGGAGGTATTCGAAGAAAGTGTTACTATAACGATGAATGTATAAATAAAAATTACGTAAAACAAATATAATGATAGAGCATAACAGCATCAGCTCCGTGGAGCTGATATTCTCTTCCTTATTCTTTATAATTGCCTATTAGATACTAAAGGCAAAATTAACTCACCGTCTAATGAAGTCAATGAAAAACTTGTCCTGGCATCCTTTGAGCGCTGTGACGAAACTCTTCGAACCGGGCGGGCCCCGCGGCTTTCCTCTCCTCGACATACCTGGAATGAAAACATCCATCCATAACAAGCCTTTGTTAAAAAAATCAATTGCCTCGTTCGTGCTGTGTGTTCAGAAATTTTAAATATACAAATGCACTGAAACATACGTGTCCAATCCAAATATTCGTAAGGCTTTATTCTCAAGGTATAATTGAAATGTAAATTTTCGTTCTGTTACATCTTATTAACGTTTTGATTTTCATTAAGAATCGTATTTCCATTACACAAGGGCAGTTTGCGGTATACACAGTGGCAGATTTACCAGCAGGCTAAGTAGCCTAGATCCTAGGGCGGCAGATTTTAGGGGGTAGGAAATTTGGCTAAATAAAAACATCATTATATACATAGATAAAACTAGTCATGATTCATTTTATTGTCATTATTTCGCGGATTGTTAACAGAAAATATAAGAGCTTGTTTTAGTTCAGAAATATACCCAAAAACTACTTTACTAATCTAGAAATTGACACAACGAAACTCTAGTTCAAAATCAAGGTAAAAACGTAAAAAAATTTGTAAATGCGCCAGTGAGTCATTTGAGCCTTGATATTTAGTCTTAGGAAAAAGTTCTAAATATCAGTTACTTTAACATCATACAGTTTTTTTTGGCAACCCAATATCATCCTTAATTTTCTGTCAAAATTAATGATGAAAAGATGATTTGAAAGTTATGTTATCCGCTGTACAAAAAAATAATTAAATACTTAAAATAAATGTTATCGTAAATGATGTTCACTAAAAACAGGGTAATAAAGAAAACGACACCTGTAGACATCGTAATCCTATTTCATAGAAATATGGGAACTAGTAGTACAAGTCAACTAGTACCAATAAACTCTTGAATAGTAAGCTCACGGTAGCATATTAAGGTAATTTTTAAAACTATAACAGATAAAATTCATGAAATAATACATAAACGAAGGCAAGGGTTCCTTTGTGTGGGTCGGGTGTTTTACTTAAGCACCCTTTTAGACAATTAAAAAAAATTAATACACGTTCAAAAATGAACGCAATGTGTAACGATGTCATACGTCATACGATAAGAATAACCATACAGTAAACCATAAATCACAAAAGTACTTAATTGTTGAGTCCATTACTCTCAAAACGTTGTGTTGTAAATAGAGAAATACAAAAGCAATTAAAGCAATTAAGAGTATTGCATTTTGTTATACTATGTAATGTTATCTAAAGTTCCATTTGGACCAGAAAGGATGTCCTGATTAACGTTGATTACAAAATGTTTTGGTTTCATCTTCAAGATGGGGTCGCCTTCAAGGATTGCGTCGGCTTCATTAATTCGCCAAACGTTAAAAATAACTCAACCCCTTGTTTTGCCAAACATAATCAAAGAAACGTTCATTCATATCGCACCAATTGATGAACCAAATGAATTATTTATAGCAAACTAGTGGCCCCGACAGGCGTTGTCCTGCACACGCAACTTAAATCCTATATATATATATATATATATATATATATATATATATATAAAGACTAGCAAACCGCCCCGGCTTCGTACGGGTTCAATGTATTATAAATATAAACCTTCCTCTTGAATCACTTTATCTAGTTAAAAAAAACCGCATAAAGATCCGTTGCGTAGTAGTCCTAAGGATCTAAGCATACATAGGGACAGACAGACAGCGGGACGGCTTTGTATTATACTATGTTATAGATGCAACATAAAATGCGAAACAAAAACAAAATCCGATCGATCATGTGCTCGCGAAAACTTAAACAAAATCGCTCGTCCCATGTTCACCGCTCATTCCTCATCAGTTATCCCAAAAGGAAACCTCGCCCAAATTGTTATGAGAAAACGTCGCAACATATCTGTTATGTCGACGGTTTCGCATCGCAGGCATGTTATTACCCGGCCGCCTTGTTAAATCACGGCTTATTGTCTCCAAAGTCGTAACAATTGAGCGGGCGGTCGTGGTGTAAACAAGCGACGCGACGTAGTCTGCGCGATCGCTCAAAGTGATGCTTTATTATTCGGCTCTCTTTCCATTTGGTTGGTTGCCAGGCGTAATAAGCCCGCTCATACACTAGCACGTATTAAACCTGTTCTCTTTAATCGTGCGCGGCGATTTACGTACATAAACGTGCCATAATTGATAAATGTTCTCATATACGGGTAAATTCTAAAAGATGACGTATATCTGTTACACGCAAACGATGATAGAAGGCTATCCATTCCATGAATTCCTCTAGTGTGTAGTCTCCCTTATACCCATTATATCTAAAGCTCTTTTATTGCTTATTAAACGTTGTTTTCCATTTGACGAATGCTTTGTTGCCATTACGACAAATATACGCCGTTAAAGACTAAATACGGTTATTGTTAAAGGGCGATAACTAAAAGATGCATGTTGCCGTCATAAAAGAGAATTACCTTTAACTACCTTCTTGCACCCATACAATCGATCGCTATTGGATTTAAAAAATCGTTTAGTACACTTTATGGTAATAAATGTTAAAAGATTTTAGGATATACGAAAAACGCAGTTGACATTGGATGCAGAAAGCAAAGGGCGATGAACTAATATGGGTTGATAATGATAAAACATTTTGAAACTTATGACCTAATAGAAGATTGTATATTGGTGTAAGCATTAGTACACTGGAACTTTAATTGACTCGGCTAAGAAAATGTTCGCGATGCAACTACCGCAAATACACACCCTGTGTATTTGCGATAGTTGAGCCACGCACCAGCTTCTGCTGTTGGAAAAACAATCATGCATCTCTAATGATCTGGGGAGAACCAGGACCTCACGGAAGACCGTCTGGTACCAGACAAAAGGGGTAACATGGCCCACCCACTTCTTAGTAACGTTGACGAACTAGATCTACAATCACAAGGGTGTTGTACAAGTCCATAAGCGCTAACGGGTAATAAAGAAATATCAAGTGAAAAGCCTCCTCGATTCTCAAATTCATTTGCTAATTTAAAAAAAAAGGCGAAGAGCACTGCGACAATTTCCGTTGGGACACCTACACCGCGAATACAGCTGAGTCAGCGTATTAACTGGACATATTGTAATATTGGATAAGAGTAACTCGCTACGGGTTACTACGTGTGCCAAAAATCCAGAAGTGGGATTGGAATGCGTGAATCAGAGTTTGCTATGCAGTCGGTAGTCGGTGACAACTCCGTGGGGCGGTGAGAGCAGACGGATTATTTTTTTATGACCACTTTGACAGTATTCATAAAAATAGCCATGATTGTATGTTGTGGCGTGCGCTAGTCAACGTTCGTCGATGTAGTAAAGCTGCGGATACACTGCTACTAACGTATTAATCGATAACCCAATTTATTTTTTTATATTTGATTTTAACCCGATTGGATAGTGAACGAATTTTAGTAGTAGATAGTGAACCTATCTCTTGCGCCAGATGCTGTTGGTTCGATGCCCGCAACTGGAAAAATATTGTGTGATGATGATTCATAACATGTATTTATTTGCAAAAGAGTTTTAAAGTATGTTAACAATTATCTATTAGCCATAGTACAAGCTTTGTTCGGTTGAGTTCTAGAGACTGTTGTGTAAAAATGTGTCCTGAAATATTTATCTATTTATTTAAATACAAAACTTTTTCGGATGCACGACAACTCTGTTTATTGTTACGATTATTCTTAAGTCCTTTAGCGACATTCACCGATACCCACTGCTAAAAGAGAGTACTAAAGAAATAATTTACAAAACCCCAGCCTCAATAGCTGAGCCCAACTAACATTTATTAAATAGTAATTTCCAAAAATTTGTAGTGCTAATCTGTTTTAAAACTTTATGTTTAAATGGACTCCGATATAATAAAAACTTGGTATGTGTTGTTGACCGTTGAACAGTATTTTTGTAATTGAGTTTTGTACTTGATAAAATTCGACAAATTCGAGTACAGCAACGTATACATATATATACATTTATGTTTACGTTGCTGTACATATAATGTATATATAATAAAGTATACATATAACTACATTTTTTTATAATTAGATCTGCCTTTCTATTTTTGTATAAATTTCAATTTCGTATGATGGTATTTCTGTTATACACCAACTAATACCCACCTCTTATTTTGTGACTCAATGAAGATTACAGAGTTAAAGTCACTACCTAAACTGCAAGAATTCCTATTTGATTACAGCCCTGTACAAAACCTGTACAACGCAATAATGTCATATACAAATAGACTTTCGTCGACTGTCCAACTACGAATTCTCAAGTTCTTTGGGCACATCTCTAGAAACGAAGATTCTATGGAGAGACTTGTCATTCAAGGCCGTGTAGAAGGCAAAAGACCTCGAGGTCGAGCCCCGACGCGCTTGGTTGACCTCATCACCAGTACTACTAAAGCCAACGCAGTAAAATGAGCTCGCATTGCTAACAGCCGCCTCCGATGGAGGAACATCGCAAGACGTGCGGCTGCCCTAGAAGCGAACAGCGACGACGAGACGCAATCCTGTCCATCGACAGCCACGACCACTCTGCCAAGAGTGTCCGATTAAGAAGAAGAAGAATAATGTTATGTACTATTGCTTATGTTATAAATTACACATTGTCATAAAACTATTGCTGTATAAAATTGTCTCAAGTAATAAAGAGACCATATAAAATATATATGATAATAAATACTCCACAAATCTTTGTCAATTCTTAACGGGTTAGTGGATGAACAGCGTAATAACATTTATCGGGATCAAGCGCTTCCGCACGATGGCAAGTTCTAGCAACGTAGCCGTAGACAGTAAACACGTTTCGTAAAAACGTTCAGTGAAAGTCTATTTACTCTAGTCAAAGAATCATTGGTAAAATAAAACATGACCAAGAAGACCTCCTGAATTCCTTTCGTTTGACCGAATCCAGAACATATAGCGCTGTGTTAGATGATCAATGTAGAACGATCCGAATAGATAATCAGAAAGACTAGACCTCAGACCAATAAAAAAGTATAGACGGAGCCATCGTAAGCAATCGCGACGAATTATGAAAGGACTATAGTATCGGCTTTGTTTGCGTAGCTCAATGTAAGATATCGGGATATTTATGTGCGAGAGATATACTTCGGCGAAAAATTTTATTATTTATTAGGTATTATTGTTTTATTTGTCTTGGTTGTATAAATTTTTATGGGAGATTTTATGGGATGACTTACAAACAGTATTGAAATAATTCACCAAGTATCATTTTATAACAGTTGGCCATCGGCCCAAGCAAAAAAAGAAAAATATAAGCGATCCTGATCTTAAGTCTTTAGTCAACTAAAGTCTTTATTGACACTATTAAAATGATTATGTTATGTTGTATCTTAACGTAATCTGATTTATTGGATTTTTACTTTTTTATTGGTTGAGGACGAGACACTAAAACTGACACATGTATAATGAGCAACGCCTTAACTGGTGTCTTTCAAGGGCTGACGACACGTGCAACTTCTCTAATTTGCGTGCGTCAGCGGTTACAAATTATAATACTAGGGCGACTGCCAGCTCTTTGGCCATATATTAAAAAATAAAATAAAGTAACGGCCAATACATATACCACTGCTGGGCGAAGGGCTCCTCTGTACAGAGGGTATCCAGGGCATAGTCCACCACGCGGCTCCATTGCGGATTGGCGTACTTCACATATTTTCGAAATATTTTATTTTTCAAAAAAATCTTAAAAAATCTTAATATTCTATTTCGAAAATATAGAGGTTTCCTCACGATGTTTTCCTTCACCGCTGATCACGTGTTAATTCAGCACTTAAAATTAACAACTACATCGGTCACCGAGCTATCACCAAGCTAATGAAAAGGAACCTCACCTCCGCTGAGCACTGTGGTGCCGTCCGGTAGGGTGGTCGCGGTGCAGTACCGCGGCAGCCCTTTGCTGCTGATGAAGTTCTTCGACCGCTTGCCCTGCTCGATGAGCTTCTGGGGCGGCATGCCCAGCAGCTCGATAATGCACGCCATCTGGTCGGCCTCGTCCTCGCCGGGCAACAAGGGGAATCCTGGAAGGTACACGCGAGCCGTATGATAGTGGAGCTTACCTATATGATTTTTGTTTTTTCTTTTTTAAAAACATTACCCTTACTTTAGGGTAACATTATCCTGTGTTAAAAGGACTATTTACAAACATAAATTCTCACGTGGAAAAACACCAAGATGCGCAAAAATCATCTGTGGGCCACAGATAGTTGTCCCGTATGGGAATTGAACCCAAGATCCCCGACACCGAAGAAAATACCTTGGCAGCTACGCCATATACTCATAGATTTTCTTATAAGATTAGAAACTATTTTTTTATTCGACGTTTCAATATTGCGTTTTACAAGAATATTAGACGCATCGATAATCCGTAAAATAATTTCATTACGGAATGAATTTTTTTTTCGCACGGGCAATGCATAGAGGCCGTGGTAGTCTATTGGAAATAACGGTGGAATTGCAATGTGAGGTCGCAAGTTTGAATCATATAATATATGAATATATTTGGATTTTAAAATTTGTAGAAAAAGTACGAAAAGTTTGTCGCCGCTGTGGGCATCGAACCCACGTCTTCGGCATTCAAAAATTGCAAGAAGCAAAAGTGGCAATATAGTTTTATGTACCAATGTTATAAACTTCAGTGTGTATCACCTCTTACTAAATAAGTAATGAGATAGATTACGAGAGTTAGATATAGAGAGAAGACATAAAATCCGATCTAGCAGTGTATATAGCACCAAAGCACGTGTAGTTAGCAAATTTCCTACTGCAGCGTGGGGGAATCTGCAGCGAATGTCAGCAATTCTGACATTGTATCGTACGCTAAGCATTTAATACGGCTTCCGAGGATTTGCATCATTACTCGCTGACGGGTTTAATTCGTTTGCAGTTTGATATTTTTCCTACTATTATAGTTTATAAGACAGGCGTAGATTTTCCTTATTCTCTTCCTCTAGAGATATTTAATATTTCAGATTTCATATTATTGTAATGTTATGGTAGAATATTGACGCATCGTATATGTATTGTTATTGGTTACTGCTTCTTGACAGGGTAATATTTATTAGGGTAGTATTCCCAGATGAAATATCAAAATTGAGAAAGCCTGTCTGTGAATCTGTAACTCGAAAAAATCCTTGCTAAGCAAAACCATATTAATTCTTATTGAAGTCTTTTTCATGAATCAAGAGTAATGTATAAACCCGTAAATCCTATTAAACATTTCATATTTGGTGAAAAACGCTAATACCTGATGACAACATTAAAATATGCGCAACTTATTTTTATTGCAAATACGAACGTATTCAAAAGTAAATTATAAAGTATCAGCCTATACATGTCCCACTGCTGGGCAAAGGCCTCCTCTATATATCAGCCCCACTGCGGAGTGGCGGACTTCACATATTTTTGTTATTATTTCGAAAATATGCAGGTTTTCTCACGATGTTTCCCTTCACCGCGGAGCACGTGATAATTCAAAAGTATTTAATGTTTATGGTGAAGTCGCGTAAGTGTTTGCTTACCTGTGAGCAGCTCCGCCAGAATGCAGCCCAGCGACCACATATCGATGGGCATGCCGTATCTCGCACCCATCATCACTTCAGGGGCTCGGTAGAACCTCGACTGTATGTAGGTGTACACGCGCTGGTGCTCGTAGCACGAGCTGCCGAAGTCTATGACCTGGAAACGAATGGGAAACATCTTAAAATACGGCATAACACTAAAAGCAAAGGTCGATAGTCGCCGGCTGTATCAAACATCTATATTTATAAAGGTAAAGACAACAAGTTCAACACCTTTATTTCGTTCGATTGTCAACCGATTTTATTTTTCATTGGTTTAGTAGGTATGGATAAGCTTTAGTGTTTCTAGTAAATAAAGGAAAAAGGGTTTTTTCGTCCTTTTATCATGGTACTGAACTATTTTGTATTGTAACACCTCAGATGTACATACAATAAACGAATGTGTAAGAGTAGAATAAAGTTTGAAAAATAAAAATTACTAATATTTGTTCGTCAAATTTTAATTTCATTATGGTAAATTTTAGACCATTAAGATCGGCGAACATAATTATTTTCATTCCATTTCAGCACCAAATAAAACATCTTAAAAGAAATATTGCACAATAAATATTCAAAATGTGATATAATAAAATATAAAGGATTCGACTCGACATATTGTTTTATTATTGCAAATTTTTCAAATGTTATAAAACATGTACGCACGTTTCCACTCTCATCGGCCCGTCGTACATTAAGTCGTCGGCTTATTAAGTAAACAATAATAAATTTAAATAATGTTTGATCGGGCGCGTCTTCGATATTAAAATTATCGCTCACATCAAAGAGTCAACGTTTCGTACTACGTGGATGAAAATGCCGAGTATGTAAGAGATATTTTGGTAGTCCTCTTAGATTCTGTTTATACTATCGGCGCGTATTTTTACGTTAGTTTTCGATACCGCGTTTTATTTTGTGTGCGAAAATATTTTACTAGCACGTGTGAGAAGTACGCCGCGTGATTTTTTTTTAACTCGGTTGTCTTAAACAAAATATTTTTTTGAAAAATTCAATTTTCAAATTTCTTTTGCATAACTAACAGATTCAAAGCACATTAAGACGAAGTTGCGAGTCAAAGAGTGAATGTAATCGAAATTTAAAGGAGAAGAAATAAACTTTTATATAACAAAAAATCGAATAGCCCGACAAATTTTGTGGAATAACTTTATTATTATGAAAAAAAAAAACGTTTATAAGCCGTAAATCAAACTCAAAACGTCTTATTAACGGCAATTTTTTCCTAAACGAAGCAGTCTTCCACTATGCATAGCCGGTTTTATTATTTCCTAATTATCACTGCTTCACGTGACACATTTATTCGACCGTGAGACGGACCGGACTTAAAACTCATCTACTCATCTAAATAGACGACGTTACCTAGTCAATCCCACACCGCGACACCCTGACAAAAATACGAGACGTAACTTGTTACGATTTCGTCTTACGTGATTGAATAACGCGCAGCGAGGCCAACAACTGATGTTGAGAAGGTTTTATGTTACAGTGTTTGTTTGGGGAGTGTGAAACCGTTTTAGTTCGTATGTCTTTTCAACCGACTCCAAAAAAGGAGGAGGTTCTCAATTCCGCTGTATGTTTGTTATGTTTTTTTATTTTTTTATGTTTGTTACCTCAAAACTTTCGACTGAGTGAGCCGATTTTGATGATTTTTTTTATTTGAAAACTGGTGTTTCCCACCTGCTCCCATATTAATTTAATTGTTATTAGATGTTGGGCTCCGGAGATACTTAGGGAACTCGTTAAAGTCAATTATAAAATGAAAATACAGAGCGCGATATTTGAAGTCGGTTTTTTTTTTCGTTTAAAAATGGACTTTTATATGGTATCTTCAACATAAACAAATTTATGATAAGGATTTGTCATAAAGTTGATTATGGCGGAGCCTTCGTTTCCGAGAATCGGGTGACGGGATTAAAGTATCTAGTGATTTGAATTGCAATATTGCTTATTGTAACAACACAAACATGTACACAAACGTAAGATACTAGTTATTTATATTTTAGACGCTACAACTTTCATTGATATGAAAGGTTTCGTTCTTGTTCGATACAAAATTTCAGATACACAAACAAACAAACAAAGATATTTCGATACTGTTAGTTATGATAGGCACGTTGTGAATAGTAGTTTTCGTTTGTAACTTTGGTATTTAAGTCACAGACACATGGTTCAATTTTATTATTGGTATATATTACGACTATACCGATAGCTCTAAAATATTTCTATGCTTAAACTTTGTGAATGTAGTATTCAGCATTCATATTCTTTGTAACATGAGAAATACGAATGCAAATGCATTTTAATGGTGTTCAAGTAAGTAATTGACTACTTGTAAAATAATAAAGGTAATCTAAACTTCTCGGAACTGACAGAGATGTAAAGGCATGGTGCCTTAGCAATAAATTGATACACATATTGTCGCTTAAAGTAAAGTACCTGGAGGACAGAGAGAGATTTTCTAAAAATGAAAACCTAGCCAGATCGATTTTTCGCCCCCGAATCTACGCACATACTAAATTTCATGAAAATCGCTGGAGCCGTTTCCGAGATTCCGATTATATATATATATATATATATATTGATTTATGATTTTATAATAGTATCCCATGTGATATGTTACTCATAAAATTATAAGTATGATTATTTTTTCTTTATGTATTACATTCTTACTGGGTATAATTGGTTTTATGGAATTGTTAGCTTTTATTAACTTTAGTAAATGCATCCACTTTAAGAAACTGTATTATGTGCAATCTTTGAAAAATTGTATGTGCCAAACATATATTTTTTTAATAATATAAACATTACATTACATTTCATATTTATTACTTTAAAGATATAAATAAGAATGAACTGGCACAAATATTTTGGTTTTTTTTTAAATAGGTAGGAACACTGACCACGTTCGTATGACCGTGTTCGTACCCTTATTCAAGTCGCGAAATTATTTATTCACTATCAATTTCTATGGATATGAGAAGATTAATGCTTGAAAGTAAATAAATTTAGATTGTGATACAAATTTCTATTCAGAAAACAACATTATATTCTGAGAAGGTCGCAAGCCTACTGGGGGTTCCCATGATGTTATGATGTGATAACCTCCGCTCATGGACATCTGCAACACCCGTAGGTTTGCAGGTGCGTTGCCACCTTTCAATAATGTCGTATTAGGCCCGGGCTACCTCACTCATCAGACGAAACGCAAAAGTATGCCCATTCGTGCAACAGCCGAACAGCTGTCGCGTGACTCTACCACAGTAAACCATAAAACATAAAACAGCTTGAAAAATAACGGGTTAACAATCACTTACTGCTTACTAATATTTCATATTTAAGTGTAAAGACAATAGATTATAATGGAGCAAAATCTATTTTGAAGTACAAATCTTAGAATAGACAATCAATGCTATATTAAGAATCTTAATATACTTATTTGCCATATTATTTCTTTTACTTCAAAGGATTGTCAAACGAGAGAGTGACAATCGCGAGGCCGATGGTGACAACCGTTTTCATTGGACAACCGCAACAGCGGAGATAATGAATAAATAATAATAATAAATAAACTAACACTTACGCTTAAGCCACCTAATAGACGATATTGTACATAGATAAAGTCCAAATCGACGTCGGAACAACTTATCGGGTTACAGCGGGCACGCGCGCACACGCGCTAATTGACGCACGCGATCCACAATGGAGTGTGCCGTTGCGTGTGACGGTGGCGACAATAATTAGACATGTGAGGCGCAACGGTTCGCGGAATATCGCTGTGGAGCCGATATGAAACCGTTGCTCTTGTCGTAACTTCAACTTGAGGTAGGAGAAAATAGATGCGGTAACGTAGGAGTCGATGAAGTCGTACTGTCTACTGTCATACACAAGGGAACGAAAGAGAAATTGTGAATTAAGAAGTGTGTATTTAAATCGAAAAGAATTTAGGAACTAAAAGGATGTTTCATAATAACAATAGCCTTGCGAATTAGCGAGAATCGTGTTCTTTTGCAATTATTTGTGGTCTATAAAGGGTGATGTAATGTTTGTTAAGTTGTAATGTTTTGTTATGTGAGTGCGTTAAAATCCGCGGCGATAGTTTCATTTAATTACGTATAGTGCTCGCTTACATAAAATAAATCATTAATTTGGCACTATGCGATTTATATTGATGCAAAGCTGGTCAACCACTTTCCAAACTTTTTCCTGAAAGTGTTCTTCCTTGTGGAGCACTTTCTTCATTATTCGTAGCAATCGAGTAAAATTGACGGAGTATTAGTAGAAGAGTAGACGATGTCGCATGGGGAACCTTCTTCGGAACAAGAAATATGAACTTGACACTTATATAGTAAATTATCAATGTATGCAAATATTTTTAGCGATAGCATCATCTTGCAAATCGATACCTTAATTGGCAAACCAGCTAACCTTTGGTCAAAAATGTTTTTTGGCTTTGTTTGTACGCAATAATAATTCCGCTTGATTTGCAAAAGCAATAACTCCGATATAATCACTATTTCTTTCTATAAATCTCTATTCGCAAATCAGCCAACTTCGCATGTCACGGAACGTTATAATTTTAACAGCCAACTCCACCAAGTCGGCTATTTCGTATGGCGTCCGAGTCATGTACGGGTACCGCCCTACGTTATTTGGAAAAAAATATATATCAACGCAACCAAAGGAAAGGTAGCGTTGAAAAACAATTGAACATTAATACACAGTATGGATACTTATTTTATTTCTTACAAAACATTGCTAGGTAATTGAACAATTCTAAAATTTAATATTGGCTTTGAGTTGGCCGGCTTGCTTCTTACTTTATTACGCTACGGTTGGAAGTTATACATTTTAAAGTTGATTAAAAATTTAAATTAAATGTGATGGTACCAATAAACCTGACTCTTTTCTGGTTCTTAATAACCAATTTTCAAAACCCTACGACGCTTTGGTTGGCCATGATAGCGTAGCTTCTAATTCATCGAATTTATTTGTGCAAGTGTGCGGGAAATCGATGGATGCAGGTGGCTTAGGATCTTACTTCGTGGCAGGGCTGAAATGATGATGATGATGATTTGATAACAACATTTATTGCATTGGAAATGAACTGTCTGCCATGGAGTATAC